ATGATTTCGATTTAATGTATGCGGGTCAGACGGCGCTACCTGTCTTACCCTGAGAACTTGGCAGTGCATTGTGATTGTAATCGCCGGCTGCAGGTCACCCCGTAGCCTAACCCAGGTCAGGGTCATTCTTGAATTATTTAAATTATGCAATCCACATTCCTTCTTCCAGACTCGTACGCAAGCACCGTTCGCGCCACGATCGTCCGCGATCTTTTGTAAAGAATAATAATTACGAGGAAGAATGAAAAAGTCGGTCTCATGCAAGAAAACAACTAACCGCATGTTGTGTTTACGATTGAAACGAGTTTCATATTATTCCGACTTCAATATCGATTTTAATGTACGGCACGAAATTCGTACAAAAAGATCGTAACTGTTCAGCGTAAATGTCTCGCAACAATGATGGAAATTTTCTTAGAATTTTTTTTTATCTATAAATTCTTTAATGAATATATTTCTTTATTCCAATAAGAACACTTTAACACAAGCAGAATAATAATAAACAAATTTTATTAAATACATTTATGTTCTATTCGACATGACTGCTCCGCGTTACAATTCTTGAGAACACGATTGTTGAATCCATTTTCTTTATGAATTAATCGACGCATACGGAGTCTTGAACGGCGATCCGCAGGGTGTATTTTACGCGACTCCTTTCTCAGGATCTGCCACGCGATGTCCCACTGGGATCCCAACGAAAGAAGAAACGACACGAGCGGGGGGTCCAGTATGCAAAATGGGATCCGTTTTCGGCCGCCCCGAATATTGATGTATAGCCAAGTATGTAGATGAGCGTGAGAATGCAGCTCGTGCCGGATGGTGGCGCGAATAGGGTGAACCGGAAGTAAACCAGTTCCCCTATCCTCCGTGGCTCCCGGTTGCTTTTGCGGCGCATTCATTCTTCCTCCAACTTTTGCCATTGACTTTTACGAACGAAAACGTAAATGCAAAAGTCGAAAGCACTGTCGAGAAATTTGACACAAAAGAGCTCGTAAACACGACGTTTTTCAAATTACGTCTGTAAGAAAAGCAGTTACATGATATCTTACTTAAGATTGTAGCATTTACAGTTTTTTTGTATTAAATTTCTGTTACAAATTATAATTTCTCTATAGCATATTACAATTTCTCTTTCTCTCTCTCTCTCTGCACTTCAAGTTTGTTACATAACCTCAAAAGTGTATATTGTTTAACAATGGCGCGAGGGGTTGGCTCGGACTAAATTGGCACTCGTGGTTTCAAAAGCGGAAGCGAGCTATTCTGCTAGCATTTGTATCCAATTGGTTCTATCAATTTCGCCAGAATTTATTGAATTGATCTAGTTGTTGACTAGAATAACCGCAGAATATTCTGATAGAATAATACATGGTTTACCAACGTATACATATATGTCATGTTACTGTATCCAACAGGTATGAAAGTAATGCTGTAAATACCAAAATATTGATGGTTATTTTAAGATGGATAAAATTCTTTTTTTTGTACAAGTATTTTTGTATTTATATATTTATTTGAAGTATTTTTATATTATATATGTCTAAAAAAGAGATTTTATTACGTTTTACTTCCATATAACTATAAATACAATGCTCGCCGTTTTCCTATCTATCTATTACATCTATCATAATAGTTTTTCGTCTGTAATATAGATCTTTTAACTATATTTTATTATTAAACAGTTCGCGATTGCAATGATAAAAATTGATCGATTTTATTTAGCGTTTAATTTGTTCTATCAATGAATTTGAATTTCGCAACATATCGGGAACGCAGCTTCAACAGAAAATGCAGAAGCGGATTTCAAAGAGCAATAATGCCACCTTCGGCAAGATTTTATCACTCCTT